CCTGTGTAAGCTATGCTAGTATGAATCTAGTATGCCTCCTGACCTGTGTAAGCTATGAATCTAGTATGCCTCCTGACCTGTGTAAGCCTCCTGACCTGTGTGTAAGCTATGAATCTAGTATGCCTCCTGACCTGTGTAAGCTATGAATCTAGTATGCCTCCTGACCTGTGTAAGCTATGAATCTAGTATGCCTCCTGACCTGTGTATGCCCTGTGTATGAATCTAGTATGCCTCCTGACCTGTGTAAGCTATGCCTCCTGACCTGTGTGTGTGTCTATGAATCTAGTATGCCTCTGACCTGTGTGTGAATCTAGTATGCCTCCTGACCTGTGTAAGCTATGAATCTAGTATGCCTCCTGACCTGTGTAATGCTTGTGAATCTAGTATGCCTCCTGACCTGTGTAAGCTATGAATCTAGTATGCCTCCTGACCTGTGTAAGCTATGAATCTAGTATGCCTCCTGACCTGTGTGAATCTAGTATGCCTCCTGACCTGTGTAAGCTATGAATCTAGTATGCCTCCTGACCTGTGTAAGCTATGAATCTAGTATGCCTCCTGACCTGTGTAAGCTATGAATCTAGTATGCCTCCTGACCTGTGTAAGCTATGAATCTAGTATGCCTCCTGACCTGTGTAAGCTATGAATCTAGTATGCCTCCTGACCTGTGTAAGCTATGAATCTAGTATGCCTCCTGACCTGTGTAAGCTATGAATCTAGTATGCCTCTTGACCTGTGTAAGCTATGAATCTAGTATGCCTCCTGACCTGTGTAAGCTATGAATCTAGTATGCCTCCTGACCTGTGTACGTTGTGATTCTGTTTTACGGGTACAGAAGCTAACATTTATGAGTGGACTTATCACTTCAGTGAGTTTTGTTTGGCGTTTAACACCATGTGCAGTTTGAACCAGATAATCCAGTGATTAACATTATGAGCATTGATCTATGCATTTAGGTTACAATGACATGTGTCAACCAAGTCAGCAAGTTTAGGTTACAATAACATGTGTCAACCAAGTCAGCAAGTTTAGGTTACAATGACATGCGTCAACCAAGTCAGCAAGTTTAGGTTACAATGACATGTGTCAACCAAGTCAGCAAGTTTGACCATCCAATCATGTTAGATGCAATGTGGTAGTGCTTATGGTTTTGCTCAAACAAGGTGCCATACTGTCATCATTCACTGAAAATATGTCCAAGCAGAATATGTTAGAATGTTATGGCTTGGATTCAACGTGTTTACAAAGATATGATTGTAATCCAACACACATTGCATGGTGTAAATGAATATGCCAATTCAATTTGTTATTCTCTGTTTTGTTGTAAAAGATTATAATAATGATAACAGGCAGTTGTGACTTTGGTGACATAATCCCCCTCCACAAATTATCAAATCAAACTTAAAAAGTAATGAAAGTGAAGGTTGTAGTTTAAGATGAAGTTTAATGTGAACAAAAACATGACCAGTCCACCTCTCTTGATATCTTGTTCTGTAGCTGTTCAAACACACAAATATTTTCAAGACTCACTTCGACCTTGACATGAATGTCATGGTGTATGAAATATGCAAAAAGTAGTAATAAAGAAATTGCTTATAAAAAAACATTCAAGAGAAGTCTTGAAAGTCTATGAAGAAAATCCAGTAAACCGTTCTTGAACTATCTCGCTGACAATATTAACATGCTGAAATCTTCAAAGTGAAAATTACGCCAAGGTCACAAAAAACCCTGGGCCCTGCGTATTCCCAAGATGAAACCTGGTGTCAAATATGATGAAAATCCAGTGAATGGTTCTTGAGGTATCTCACTGACAAGCTTAACATGCAGGTTAACAACCTGAAATCTTCAAAGTGTTGCTGTGACATTGAAAATTATGTGAAGGTCACCACAATCAACTGGGCCCTGCAACTTCCCTTGATGGAGCTTGGTGTCAAATATGAAGAAAATCCAGTGAACAGTTCTTGAAATATCTCACTGACAAGGGTAAAATGTTAAAATCCCCCTTGTGACCTTGAAATGAAGGTCACCAAACTTCACTGAGAAATTTCGCATACTGTGATGAACCTAGGTACCAAGTATGAAAATAATTAATCTAGTTCTTAAGATATTCCAATTTGTACGTACGCACACCTAATACTATATCCCCCGCTTCGCGCTAATCGCACTGTGCGGGATAATAATGAGAACATTTGTAATGACCTGAATTCCACACCACGGAGGGGCACGCTCAAAGCGCTACAATCTGATTATTATTACCCCAAATAACACAAGCTGCCTGTGAGGCACTAGAAGGTTTTAAATAGTCACATGACTTATCCCACCGGGGTACCCATTTTCTGCTGGGTGAACAGGGGCAAGTTTGAACAAACTCACTTGCCTAAGTTGAGACCACATGTATCACATGTGCTTTGTTGTGAGGCAGGACTGAAGTCCTAGTAACTCTCTGGAGTCAAGCTGCCAAACATGTCACCCATCCAAGGACTCTCCACATCCAACGTTGCTTAACTTCAACTGATTTGTGACCTGAGCTCTATGCACAGGACCACACACCACCACTATCTTCATGCTCTGTCTGCATGTGTAGTGTTATACAGTAGATTTCCCCCTGTATTTTATATATGTACATAACGATAAGTGCCTGCTGATTCTCTCAAATAATTACTACAGTTAATTTGCCATACCACATTAAGACATCTAATCTAAGATGCCAACATCATATCTTTTTGGAGATTTACAGTCGGCTTAAATACAAATCAGCTGTATGTACTGCTGTAAAGTTTCACCCTTGTGGTTAGAGACAAAGTTAACACAAGGACACAATCATGAATAGGAGTTTAGGGTTAAACAAGACTTCAGTATTCATTCAGTTTGTGACTATTCGAATCCCATGCGGCAACATGTTGGATAAAAATGTCACTTGCATATCAATTTGTTTCAGTTTAATCGCTGGTAATTGTTGGTTGAAATACTGGCAAACAAGATAAGTTGGACCAGCGCAGAGAACGTGTTTACGAGAAGTAGGCGGTGCACAGCAATGAGCAAACCTATTTGGTTTGTGAAAGGTAGAGCAGACGTAGGCTAGTGCACGTTCACTGCATGACAATGAAATTGATTCTGCACGTAGCTGCACACGCCTTGCTCATAAGACTCTCACGTCGGTGTAGCAAGTCGTACTACACTTGATCGCAGACAACCTGGGGCCCCTTCATTAACAATGCAAGCGCCACTGGGCGGCACTCATACATGTTAATACAGGTCAATTGTCAGGTCGGTGCTCAACTTATCCTTGTTTGCCAGTAGTTTCTGACACTGGCTTCTACTACTGACTGAACACAGCAGACAGCTCCCACTGCATGAAACTGACTTGACAACTTGGACTGTGAAATGGTGTAGTTGAGTAGCATGGCAGAGACTAACAAGCCACTTTCACAAACTAATATAAAAAACCTGTAAGACATCTGTAAACCAACGTTCACACTCCAAAAATCCCATTGTCAGACACACATTAAAATTATTGTCAGACACCCAGTAAACCTACTGTCAGACACCCAGTAAACCCATTGTCAGACACCCAGTAAACCTACTGTCAGACACACATTAAACCTACCGTCAGACACATTAAACCTACTGTCAGACACCCAGTAAACCTACTGTCAGAAACATTAAACCTACTGTCAGACACCCAGTACACCCATTGTCAGACACCCAGTAAACCCATTATCAGACACCCATTAAACCCATTGTGAGACACCCAGTAAACCTACTGTCAGAAACTTTAAACCTACTGTCAGACACCCAGTACACCCATTGTCAGACACCAAGTAAATCAATTGTGAGACACCCAGTAAACCCATTGTCAGACACCCATTACAACTTTTGTCAGACACACATTAAACCTACTGTCAGACACCCAGTATACCCACTGTCAGACACCCAGTAAACCTTTTCTCAGACACAGAATAAACCCACAGTCAGACATGCATTAAACCTACTGTCACACACCCAGTAAACCCATTTTCAGAAACCCATTACACCCACTGTCAGACACCCAGTAAACCCACTGTCAGACACCCAGTAAACCCACTGTCAGACACCCAGTAAACCCACTGTCAGACACCCAGTAAACCCACTGTCAGACACACATTCAACCCATTGTCAGACACCAAGTAAACCCATTGTCAGACACCCACTAAACCCATTATCAGACACCCATTAAACCTACTGTCAGACACCCAGTAAACCCAGTGTCAGACACCCAGTAAACCCATTGTCAGACACCCAGTAAACCCATTGTCAGACACCCAGTAAAGCCACTGTCAGACACGCAGTTAACCCACTGTCAGACACACATTAAACCCATTGTCAGACACCCAGTAAACCCACTGTCAGGCACCAAGTAAACCTACTGTCAGACACCCACTAAACCCATTGTGAGACACACATTAAACCTACTGTCAGACATCCAGTAAAGACGTTGTTAGACACCCATTAAACTGGCAAACAGAAATAAACCTATAAAACACTACTGTCAAACATCCTTAAAAACCACTTTCACAGCCATAGACCAACTGTCAGACTGCAAAAAAGCCACACTGTCAAACACCCATAAAAACCCCACTGCCAGATGCCGATGTAAACCACACTGAAACTTCCATAAAACCCACTGACAAGACTACCATAAAACCCACTGACAAGACTACCATAAAACCTACTTTTACACATCCACAAAACCCTTTTTCACACACCCTTAAAATACACTTTCAAAACACAAGAAAACACTGTCAGACTCCCATAAAGCCCACTAACTGAAGTCTGTGTATGGAATCCATACAAATCACAGTGAGTGGGTGGGTGGGCTTGTGGGTGGATGGGTGAGTGAGTGAGAGAGTGAGTGATGTTCTCAGACCTTGACAACATGAGCATGTGTATGACAAAGAAACGACAATCTAGGACTGAACATCACCCACATGACATGATTCTCTATAAACATGACCAGGTCCTACCTCCATCTCAGCCATGTGCAGCCACTGCTTAGGGTTGTCCTCGGCAGCAAGGAAGGCAATGAGATCAAGGGCAGTGAGGCGTGTCTGGCGACGGGACGACACAAACACCAACACTGGCTTCTCAGGGGAGTGGGTCTTCACAGCTTGAAGGAAAAAACAATGAATTTGTCAGCATCTATTACATCATCATCATAATCATCATCATAATCATCGCCACCACCACCACCATCATCGTCGTTGTCATCGTCATCATCACCACCACCACTATCATCATCATCATCATCATCATCATCAACACCACCGCTACCACCACCATCATCATCATCACCACCACCACCACTATCATCATCACCACCACTACCATCATCATCATCGTCATCATCATCATCATCATCATCATCATCATCACCACCACCATCATCACCACCACCACCAACACCACCACTATTATCATCATCATCATCATCATCATTATCATCACCACCACTATCATCATCATCATCATCCATGACCAGCCCAACACAAAGACAACAAGTCCCCTCACCCTGGAATGTGGGTTTGTTCATGGTCGCCATGCGGGGACAGTAGTGTTGTCCTGGGAAACCATTGATGTGAACCTCAAGTGGAACAGGACGGACAGATGGACGGAAGTTGAACAGACCCATCTGAAACATATCATTTAAAGTTTTCTGTAATAAAGGCCAGAATAACAAGATGGAAATGTAAACTAAAAGCAACAGTGATATATTTTCCCGAGTGAGAGGAGGCCTGTAAACATACATGTCTGGAACAGAAGATTAAGTGATTGATATTGTGAGCACCAGTCCACATAAAGACAAGCCATCATCCCCAAGCCATCATTCTCAAGCCATCATCCCCTAGCCATCATCCCCAAGCCATCATCCCCTAGCCATCATCCCCAAGCCATCATCCCCTAGCCATCATCCCCAAGCCATCATCCCTAGCCATCATCCCCAAGCCATCATCCCCTAGACATCATCCCATCATCCCCAAGCCATCATCCCTAGCCATCATCCCCAAGCCATCATCCCCAAGCCATCATCCCTAGACATCATCCCAAGCCATCATCCCTAGCCATCATCCCCAAGCCATCATCCCCTAGCCATCATCCCTAAGCCATCATCCCCTAGACATCATGCCATCATCAAGCATCATCCCCAAGCCATCATCCCCTAGACATCATCCCCAAGCCATCATCCCCTAGCCATCATCCCCTAGCCATCATCCCTAGCCATCATCCCCAAGCCATCATCCCTAGACATCATCCCTAGACATCATCCCATCATCCCTAAGCCATCATCCCTAGCCATCATCCCCAAGCCATCATCCCTAAGCCATCATCCCTGACATCATCCCTAAGCCATCATCCCATCATCCCCAAGCCATCATCCCATCCCCTAGACATCATCCCTAAGCCATCATCCCTAGACATCATCCCCAAGCCATCATCCCTAGGACATCATCCCATCATCCCCAAGCCATCATCCCTAGCCATCATCCCCAAGCCATCATCCCCAAGCCATCATCCCCTAGACATCATCCCTAGACATCATCCCATCATCCCCAAGCCATCATCCCTAGCCATCATCCCCAAGCCATCATCCCTAGACATCATCCCATCATCCCTAAGCCATCATCCCTAGCCATCATCCCCAAGCCATCATCCCCAGCCATCATCCCTAGACATCATCCCAAGCCATCATCCCTAGCCATCATCCCCAAGCCATCATCCCTAGCATCATCCCCAAGCCATCATCCCTAGACATCATCCCATCATCCCCAAGCCATCATCCCTAGCCATCATCCCCAAGCCATCATCCCTAGCCATCATCCCTAGACATCATCCCCAAGCCATCATCCCCAAGCCATCAACCCATCATCCCAAAGCCATCATCCCATCATCCCTGTACATCATCCCAAGCCATCATCCCTAGACATCATCCCCAAGCCATCATCCCCAAGCCATCATCCCTAGACATCATCCCATCAAGCCATCATCCCTAGCCATCATCCCCAAGCCATCATCCCCAAGCCATCATCCCTAGACATCATCCCTAGCCATCATCCCCAAGCCATCATCCCATCATCCCTAAGCCACCATCCCCAAGCCATCATCCCCAAGCCATCATCCCTAGCCATCATCCCCAAGCCATCATCCCTAGCCATCATCCCCAAACCATCATCCCTAAGCCATCATCCCAAGCCATCATCCCATCATCCCTAAGCCATCATCCCCTAGCCATCATCCCTGAAGCCATCATCCCCAAGCCATCATCCCTAGCCATTAGCCCCAAGCCATCATCCCTAAGCCATCATCCCCAAGCCATCATCCCCAAGCCATCATCCCCTAGCCATCATCCCCAAGCCATCATCCCATCATCCCCAAGCCATCATCCCTAGCCATCATCCCCAAGCCATCATCCCCAAGCCATCATCCCTAGCCATCATCCCCAAGCCATCATCCCCTAGCCATCATCCCCCAAGCCATCATCCCCTAGACATCATCCCCAAGCCATCATCCCCAAGCCATCATCCCATCATCCCCAAGCCATCATCCCCTAGCCATCATCCCCAAGCCATCATCCCCAAGCCATCATCCCCAAGCCTTGCCACCTGACCCATGATGGTGCCTATGAGCAATGAGCCATAAATAATATTGCTCGATATTTATGTGGATGACGATATCTTCAGAGTGACCCATTATTTGAACAGCACTGTTGATATTCTACCTGTTTAATGGCCAACCAGTCTGCAAGGTCTCGTGCATTGGCCAGAGCTGTGGAGAGGCCAACAACTCGAACCTTGGTCATGGTGGTGCTGGAGATGAAGTTTGTCCGAGAGACAATGACCTCCAGAACAGGACCTCGATCATCACCTGCAGTCAAATGTTTCAGAGGTATGACAACACTGAAATGCACCATGTCAAATGTAGGGTTGGGTATTGCCAAAATGTTCGTATTGCGATATATTGTAATATGTGTTGGCGAATTGCAATATGAATTGCAATATATTGTGAACGTGTAACACATGGGTTAAGGTAATGAAATTACTGTTTCCTTTCTTTTGAAACAATGCCACTGGCCACTGTCAGGAGTCAGATGTGATTGTCCAAGAGATCAATTAAAAATGTTTCCAAATTGAAGACTTCGCTCTAAAGTTTGGAACTAGAGAAAAAAACGTCTGCAGCGGCGCCTGCCATTTTGTTTTGTTTATCCTTACAACGAGTGCCGGTACCAATCTATTTTTATTTATTTATATGGTTTAAAAGTCATGCAAATGCAATTATATGACCAATAAACATTCTGAAACTATTAATGTATAATTATGAAGGAAATACAAATGTTGTTAGTAGTTTTGATTACGTCACGAAAATTACCGACTGTATCGGGTGAACCGGTTTGCGAAAAGTGTACTGCAATATATTGTATTGTGAAGTTCGAATTGAAATATACCGGTTAACCGGTATTATCGCCCACCCCTAGTCAAATGGTATATATATAAGAAATATTGTATATATATAGCACAACAGTGGCTCCTACAACATTAGGATATTCAACTAAAAATTATGCTCAAGAATGTTTCATTGTCAGCAATATTCCAGCAACTGTTGGTTGACTTCACACACCATGCCTGTGGATGACAATACCAGTTATGGGAACTATCATGCTGCTATCTTGGACTTATGAAAAACAAGACTCACCAAGCAGGTGGATATGAAAAACAAGACTCACCAAGCAGGTGGATTTCATCGATGACCAGCAGGGCTACAGACTTGACGTAGCTCCCGAGTCTGCCACGACCGACTCACTCCATCCCATTTCTCCGGTGTTGTCACTATCAGGTCAGCATTGGCCACAGCTCGCATGTCTGGTGTTACATCTCCGGTCAACTCCACCACTCTGGAGGAACCAAATAACACATGCACTCTGGACAGGACTATTTGTCACATGTAGAGTCTTAAAATCTTCACTTACTGAGATTGTTATGATAACAGTTCAGGAGATAATATATCTTCTATAACACACACTGAAGCAGTAGATACATAAATAAAGATATGCCATCATCCCCAAGTGACACACACAGAGACACACACACACACAAAGAAACTGACAGATGAATATACAAACACAGACAGACAGAATGAAGAGGGAGAGAGAGAGACAGAGACAGAGACAGAGAGAGAGAGAGAGAGAGAGAGAGAGAGAGAGAGAGAGACAGAGACAGAGAGAGAGATACGCACACATCTCTGTACTTACTTCTTGCCCAGCTTCTGCTCTATCCTGACCTTCCAATCATCCATCCTCTCTCGGACCAGAGCCTTCAGAGGAGCAATATACACTGCCTGACAACATACATATCTTACAGTCAATTTGGAGAAAATAATCACAGCTGACTTGGCTGAATCACACAGAAACATTACACAGTGGTATCCAGGTCTCCACATGACCATTTGTCTGTGACAGCAGTGACTTCTAGAGCATCCTGACCAAGATGTAGATAAGCTGTATTGTTTTATCATAACACACTGAGGCTTTTTAGTATCATAAGCTTGTGACAGAATATGAATTATCTCCATGACACAAATACCCACCTTATGTTTGGGGTACTGGTTGAATATCCGGAATATTGCCAACTCAGCAGCAACTGTCTTCCCGGAACCAGTGGGTGCCCCAAGCAACACGTTGCAGTCATTGTGGTACACTGTGTGGAATATCTGGGTCTGGATGGGGTTGAAGTGAGTGAAGCGATACAGGGCTTCATACTGGGGGTTCTTCAGGGCTGTCACTGGCAGGGGCTGCAGGTCGAGCAGCTCTGGAAACAAATACAGTACAATAAGGTAAACAATGACACCCCTACTACTGGCTACGGGGAAGGTGATACTATCAGTGATGTGTGCTTCCTGTGTATGCGTGCAGTACAATAGGTTACATCTGCCATCTACATGTGGAGTACTGCAAGCGTCATCTGAATCCTCTATGCGTGCGTGCGTGCATGCTACATGTTTGTGGGGAGTACTATTAGTGACGTCTGCTACCTGTTTGTGGGAGTACTATTAGTGTGGACTGCTACCTGTTTGTGGGAGTACTATTAGTGATGTCTGCTACCTGTTTGTGGGAGTACTATTAGTGTGGACTGCTACCTGTTTGTGGGGAGTACTAATAGTGTGGACTGCTACCTGTTTGTGGGGAGTACTATTAGTGTGGACTGCTACCTGTTTGTAGGGAGTACTAATAGTGTGGACTGCTACCTGTTTGTGGGGAGTACTAATAGTGTGGACTGCTACCTGTTTGTGGGAGTACTATTAGTGTGGACTGCTACCTGTTTGTGGGAGTACTATTAGTGTCGACTGCTATCTGTTTGTGGGGAGTACTATTAGTGATGTCTGCTACCTGTTTGTGGGGAGTACTATTAGTGTGGACTGCTACCTGTTTGTGGGAGTACTATTAGTGTGGACTGCTACCTGTTTGTGGGGAGTACTAATAGTGTGGACTGCTACCTGTTTGTGGGGAGTACTAATAGTGTGGACTGCTACCTGTTTGTGGGAGTACTATTAGTGTGGACTGCTACCTGTTTGTGGGAGTACTATTAGTGTCGACTGCTATCTGTTTGTGAGGAGTGCTATTAGTGATGTCTGCTACCTGTTTGTGGGGAGTACTATTAGTGTGGACTGCTACCTGTTTGTGGGGAGTACTATTAGTGTCGACTGCTACCTGTTTGTGTGGAGTACTATTAGTGTCAACTGCTACCTGTTTGTGGGGAGTCCTATTAGTGTCGACTGCTACCTGTTTGTGGGGAGTCCTATTAGTGTCGACTGCTACCTGTTTGTTGGGAGTACTATTAGTGTCGACTGCTACCTGTTTGTGGGGAGTACTATTAGTGACGTCTGCTACCTGTTTGTGTGGAGTCCTATTAGTGTCGACTGCTACCTGTTTGTGGGGAGTACTATTAGTGACGTCTGCTACCTGTTTGTGTGGAGTACTATTAGTGTCGACTGCTACCTGTTTGTTGGGAGTACTGTAAGGGACGTCTGCTACCTGTTTGTGTGGAGTACTATTAGTGTCAACTGCTACCTGTTTGTTGGGAGTACTGTTAGTGACGTCTGCTACCTGTTTGTGGGGAGTACTATTAGTGACGTCTGCTACCTGTTTGTGTGGAGTACTATTAGTGTCAACTGCTACCTGTTTGTGGGGAGTACTGTTAGTGACGTCTGCTACCTGTTTGTGTGGAGTACTATTAGTGTCAACTGCTACCTGTTTGTGGGGAGTCCTATTAGTGTCGACTGCTACCTGTTTGTGGGGAGTACTATTAGTGTCGACTGCTACCTGTTTGTTGGGAGTACTGTTAGTGACGTCTGCTACCTGTTTGTGTGGAGTACTATTAGTGTCAACTGCTACCTGTTTGTGGGGAGTCCTATTAGTGTCGACTGCTACCTGTTTGTGGGGAGTCCTATTAGTGTCGACTGCTACCTGTTTGTTGGGAGTACTATTAGTGTCGACTGCTACCTGTTTGTGGGGAGTACTATTAGTGACGTCTGCTACCTGTTTGTGGGGAGTACTATTAGTGACGTCTGCTACCTGTTTGTGTGGAGTACTATTAGTGTCGACTGCTACCTGTTTGTTGGGAGTACTGTAAGGGACGTCTGCTACCTGTTTGTGTGGAGTACTATTAGTGTCAACTGCTACCTGTTTGTTGGGAGTACTGTTAGTGACGTCTGCTACCTGTTTGTGGGGAGTACTATTAGTGACGTCTGCTACCTGTTTGTGTGGAGTACTATTAGTGTCAACTGCTACCTGTTTGTGGGGAGTACTGTTAGTGACGTCTGCTACCTGTTTGTGTGGAGTACTATTAGTGTCAACTGCTACCTGTTTGTGGGGAGTCCTATTAGTGTCGACTGCTACCTGTTTGTGTGGAGTACTATTAGTGTCGACTGCTACCTGTTTGTTGGGAGTACTGTTAGTGACGTCTGCTACCTGTTTGTGTGGAGTACTATTAGTGTCAACTGCTACCTGTTTCTGTGGAGTACTGTTAGTGACGTCTGCTACCTGTTTGTGTGGAGTACTATTAGTGTCAACTGCTACCTGTTTGTGGGGAGTACTGTTAGTGACGTCTGCTACCTGTTTGTGTGGAGTACTATTAGTGTCAACTGCTACCTGTTTGTGGGGAGTCCTATTAGTGTCGACTGCTACCTGTTTGTGTGGAGTACTATTAGTGTCGACTGCTACCTGTTTGTTGGGAGTACTGTTAGTGACGTCTGCTACCTGTTTGTGGGGAGTACTATTAGTGACCTCTGCTACCTGTTTGTGGGGAGTACTATTAGTGACGTCTGCTACCTGTTTGTGTGGAGTACTATTAGTGTCGACTGCTACCTGTTTGTGTGGTGTACTATTAGTGACGTCTGCTACCTGTTTGTGTGGAGTACTATTAGTGTCGACTGCTACCTGTTTGTGGGGAGTCCTATTAGTGTCGACTGCTACCTGTTTGTGTGGAGTACTATTAGTGTCAACTGCTACCTGTTTGTGGGGAGTCCTATTAGTGTCGACTGCTACCTGTTTGTGGGGAGTACTATTAGTGACCTCTGCTACCTGTTTGTGGGGAGTACTATTAGTGTCGACTGCTACCTGTTTGTGTGGAGTACTATTAGTGTCAACTGCTACCTGTTTGTTGGGAGTACTGTTAGTGACGTCTGCTACCTGTTTGTGTGGAGTACTATTAGTGACGTCTGCTACCTGTTTGTGGGGAGTACTATTAGTGACGTCTGCTACCTGTTTGTGGGGAGTACTATTAGTGTCAACTGCTACCTGTTTGTGGGGAGTACTGTTAGTGACGTCTGCTACCTGTTTGTGGGGAGTACTATTAGTGTCGACTGCTACCTGTTTGTGGGGAGTACTATTAGTGTCGACTGCTACCTGTTTGTTGGGAGTCCTATTAGTGTCGACTGCTACCTGTTTGTGGGGAGTACTATTAGTGACGTCTGCTACCTGTTTGTGTGGAGTACTATTAGTGTCGACTGCTACCTGTTTGTTGGGAGTACTGTTAGTGATGTCTGCTACCTGTTTGTGTGGAGTACTATTAGTGTCAACTGCTACCTGTTTGTGGGGAGTACTGTTAGTGACGTCTGCTACCTGTTTGTTGGGAGTACTGTTAGTGACGTCTGCTACCTGTTTGTGTGGAGTACTATTAGTGTCAACTGCTACCTGTTTGTGTGGAGTACTGTTAGTGTCGACTGCTACCTGTTTGTTGGGAGTACTGTTAGTGACGTCTGCTACCTGTTTGTGTGGAGTACTATTAGTGTCAACTGCTACCTGTTTGTTGGGAGTACTGTTAGTGACGTCTGCTACCTGTTTGTGGGGAGTACTATTAGTGACGTCTGCTACCTGTTTGTGGGGAGTACTATTAGTGTCAACTGCTACCTGTTTGTGTGGAGTACTATTAGTGTCGACTGCTACCTGTTTGTGGGGAGTCCTATTAGTGTGGACTGCTACCTGTTTGTGGGGAGTACTATTAGTGTTGACTGCTACCTGTTTGTTGGGCGTACTATTAGTGTCGACTGCTACCTGTTTGTGGGGCGTACTATCAGTGATGTGTGTTACCTGTGTGAGGAGGATGTCTCTCCGGCAGGATGAGGTGTTGGAAGGAGATGGGAAAGACAGCCTCTGACCCGAGCCACCGGTCTGACACTGCCCTTATGTAGTACTGGGTTGGCAGCGGCTCGAAGATCGGTATGGTGAACACCAAGCTCTGGGGTTCATCCTTCACAACCTAGAGGTATATCCACATTGTATATATTACATCATAGTCTCATGATCATATTGGCATATGTAACACACAGAGGCTTCAAAGTTCCATATACAAAAGACATTTTCAGATAAAAACTTAAGCTCTTACTTTGTGCAAATAAGAAACTAGACACTATACTTTTATCAATTTTACTTCATAAAAAACAGAGTTTTTAATTTTACTTCACACATTAACTGCAGATCCCATCCCTGTCTAAACTCTTGACTTATATTGAACCTACAATACAGTTTTATACATCTTTCCCCTACAATACAGTTTTATACATCTTTCCCCTACAATACAGTTTTATACATCTTTCCCCTACAATACAGTTTTATACATCTTTCCCCTACAATACAGTTTTATACATCTTTCCCCTACAATACAGTTTTATACATCTTTCCCCTACAATACAGTTTTATACATCTTTCCCCTATAATACAGTTTTATACATCTTTCCCCTATAATACAGTTTTATACATCTTTCCCCTACAATACAGTTTTATACATCTTTCCCCTATAATACAGTTTTATACATCTTTCCCCTACAATACAGTTTTATACATCTTTCCCCTACAATACAGTTTTATACATCTTTCCCCTACAATACAGTTTTATACATCTTTCCCCTACAATACAGTTTTATACATCTTTCCCCTATAATACAGTTTTATACATCTTTCCCCTACAATACAGTTTTATACATCTTTCCCCTATAATACAGTTTTATACATCTTTCCCCTACAATACAGTTTTATACATCTTTCCCCTATAATACAGTTTTATACATCTTTCCCCTACAATACAGTTTTATACATCTTTCCCCTATAATACAGTTTTATACATCTTTCCCCTATCATACAGTTTTATACATCTTTCCCCTATAATACAGTTTTATACATCTTTCCCCTATAATACAGTTTTATACATCTTTCCCCTATAATACAGATTAATTCTTGTGTTATTACAAAGGCATATATTCTTTTCAGGGTGACTGTTGATCCCACAATGCAACACAGTAGCGCCACCTACATGTTTCTTGTGGAGCAGGAAGTAGTCAGAATGGTAGATGTGGTTATTGTCAGGGTCCTCCACCCACACCCAGAATGGCTCCGTTACGCTGCCATGAACCTGTTGTCAATTCAACACATCATCACTATGACGCCTGTAGTCATGGCAATAACTGTCAATTTTACAGACACTAGGGATTCGTGGAAGCTTCAATTCCAAGGTGAATGAAGAATATGGGCACCTATGACTTTCTGTCCTGGCATCCTGATAGCGGTCTATAAATGGTCGACTCAACCAGCCAAAGTTCTTGTTGACCATGTTCTATCTTGCCACAGCAAAATTACTGGACCTACACAGCAATTATCATGAGAACTACTTCTACACAGGGTTTAAATATACCACAAATTATATATGGTTCTCAAGATATATGCTGTAATGATAAAATTAATAAATCTGACTTGAGCTGATCAGCTAAAAATAAATTAAAAGACTGACAAGGACAGTGTTGAAAGGCCAATCATATGCATCACAGAGACAGATCCTGTCTCTCACTCATCTGACTCAAGGCCACACTATGGCTGTATTATCTGATGCTGTCTCTCTCACCTCACTCACTCAGCTGACTCAAGGCCACACTATGGCTGTATTATCTGATGGTGTCTCTCTCACCTCACTCACTCAGCTGACTCAAGGCCACACTATGGTTGTATTATCTGATGCTGTCTCTCTCACCTCACTCACTCAGCTGACTCAAGGCCACACTATGGCTGTATTATCTGATGGTATCTCTCTCACCTCTCTCACTCAGCTGACTCTAGGCCACACTATGGCTGTATTATCTGATGGTATCTCTCTCACCTCACTCACTCAGCTGACTCAAGGCCACACTATGGCTGTATTATCTGATGGTATCTCTCTCACCTCACTCACTCAGCTGACTCAAGGCCACACTATGGCTGTATTATCTGATGGTATCTCTCTCACCTCACTCACTCAGCTGACTCAAGGCAACACTATGGCTGTATTATCTGATGGTGTCTCTCTCACCTCACTCACTCAGCTGACCTAAGGCCACACTATGGCTGTATTATCTGATGGTGTCTCTCTCACCTCACTCACTCAGCTGACTCAAGGCCACACTACGGCTGTATTATCTGATGGTATCTCTCTCACCTCACTCACTCAGCTGACTCAAGGCCACACTATGGCTGTATTATCTGATGGTATCTCTCTCACTCAGCTGACTCAAGGCCACACTATGGCTGTATTATCTGATGCTGTCTCTCTCACCTCACTCACTCAACTGACTCAAGGCAACACTATGGCTGTATTATCTGATGGTATCTCTCTCACCTCACTCACTCAGCTGACTCAAGGCCACACTATGGCTGTATTATCTGATGGTATCTCTCTCACCTCACTCACTCAGCTGACTCAAGGCCACACTATGGCTGTATTATCTGATGGTGTCTCTCTCACCTCACTCACTCAGCTGACTCAAGGCCACACTACGGCTGTATTATCTGATGGTATCTCTCTCACCTCACTCACTCAGCTGACTCAAAGCCACACTATGGCTGTATTATCTGATGGTATCTCTCTCACTCAGCTGACTCAAGGCCACACTATGGCTGTATTATCTGATGCTGTCTCTCTCACCTCACTCACTCAACTGACTCAAGGTAACACTATGGCTTTATTATCTGATGGTATCTCTCTCACCTCTCTCACTCAACTGACTCAAGGCAACACTATGGCTGTATTATCTGATGGTGTCTCTCTCACCTCACTCACTCAACTGACTCAAGGCCACACTATGGCTGTATTATCTGATGGTATCTCTCTCACCTCTCTCACTCAGCTGACTCAAGGCAACACTATGGCTGTATTATCTGATGGTATCTCTCTCACCTCACTCACTCAGCTGACTCAAGGCAACACTATGGCTGTATTATCTGATGGTATCTCTCTCACCTCACTCGCTCAGCTGACTCAAGGCAACACTATGGCTGTATTATCTGATGCTGTCTCTCTCTGATGGTATCTCTCACTCACTCAGCTGACTCAAGGCAACACTATGGCTGTATTATCTGATGGTATCTCTCTCACCTCTCAAACTCAGCTGACTCAAGGCAACACTATGGCTGTATTATCTGATGGTATCTCTCTCCACTTCACTCCACTCAGCTGACTCAAGGCAACACTATGGCTGTATTATCTGATGGTATCTCTCTCACCTCTCTCACTCAGCTGACTCAAGGCAACACTATGGCTGTATTATCTGATGGTATCTCTCTCACCTCTCTCACTCAGCTGACTCAAGGCAACACTATGGCTGTATTATCTGATGGTATCTCTCTCACCTCCCTCACTCAGCTGACTCAAGGCAACACTATGGCTGTATTATCTGATGGTATCTCTCTCACCTCACTCACTCAGCTGACTCAAGGCAACACTATGGCTGTATTATCTGATGGTATCTCTCTCACCTCTCTCACTCATCTGACTCAAGGCAACACTATGGCTGTATTATCTGATGGTATCTCTCTCACCTCACTCACTCAGCTGACTCAAGGCAACACTATGGCTGTATTATCTGATGGTATCTCTCTCACCTCTCTCACTCAGCTGACTCAAGGCAACACTATGGCTGTATTATCTGATGGTATCTCTCTCACCTCTCTCACTGAACTGACTCAAGGCAACACTATGGCTGTATTATCTGATGGTATCTCTCTCACCTCACTCACTCAGCTGACTCAAGGCCACACGATAGCTGTATTATCTGATGGTGTCTCTCTCACCTCACTCACTCAACTGACTCAAGGCCACACTACGGCAGTATTATCTGATGGTATCTCTCTCACCTCACTCACTCAGCTGACTCAAGGCCACACTATGGCTGTATTATCTGATGGTATCTCTCTCACCTCACTCACTCAGCTGACTCAAGGCAACACTATGGCTGTATTATCTGATGGTATCTCTCTCACCTCTCTCACTCAGCTGACTCTAGGCCACACTATGGCTGTATTATCTGATGGTATCTCTCTCACCTCTCTCACTCAACTGACTCAAGGCAACACTATGGCTGTATTATCTGATGGTATCTCTCTCACCTCACTCACTCAACTGACTCAAGGTAACACTATGGCAGTATTATCTGATGGTATCTCTCTCACCTCACTCACTCAGCTGACTCAAGGCAACACTATGGCTGTATTATCTGATGGTGTCTCTCTCACCTCACTCACTCAGCTGACTCAAGGTAACACTATGGCTGTATTATCTGATGGTATCTCTCTCACCTCATTCACTCAGCTGACTCAAGGCCACACTATGGCTGTATTATCTGATGGTATCTCTCTCACCTCACTTCACTCAACTGACTCAAGGCAACACTATGGCTGTATTATCTGATGGTATCTCTCTCACCTCTCTCACTCAGCTGACTCAAGGCAACACTATGGCTGTATTATCTGATGGTATCTCTCTCACCTCACTCACTCAGCTAACTCAAGGCAACACTATGGCTGTATTATCTGGTGCTGTCTCTCTCACCTCACTCACTCAACTGACTCAAGGCAACACTATGGCTGTATTATCTGATGGTATCTCTCTCACCTCACTCACTCAACTGACTCAAGGCCACACGATAGCTGTATTATCTGATGGTGTCTCTCTCACCTCACTCACTCAACTGACTCAAGGCCACACTATGGCTGTATTATCTGATGGTATCTCTCTCACCTCACTCACTCAACTGACTCAAGGCAACACTATGGCTGTATTATCTGATGGTATCTCTCTCACCTCTCTCACTCAGCTGACTCAAGGCCACACTATGGCTGTATTATCTGATGGTATCTCTCTCACCTCTCTCACTCAGCTAACTCAAGGCAACACTATGGCTGTATTATCTGATGGTATGTCTCTCACCTTATCATCCCAGCTGAAGTCAGCAGTGATGGTGAGCCTCACTCTGAGAACAGTGCGGGTGATTGGTTGTATGCTTGCGTCCAGAATGAGTGCAGGAATCTGGTTGACACATCTCTTGATGATGGCCCCCATCCTGACGTGGTGGACTATGTGGCCTAGGTAACAGAACCATCACAAACCTTTACAACAGTATTCCTACAGTGATGCAGAATGAATAGGACCAGCTTAGCTTTTGTTTCAGCAACATTATTGCAACAAGAGCAATGCGCTTTTTTTACCAAGGAGGTAACTCCTAAATTGAGTACCAAAGCATTAATACAGTAACCCTGCTGAATCTCTCATTATTACTACAGAACATCCTGAAACAGCTTCCTGACAGCCCTACCCATTTCCCTGGCAACCATGACTCTCCCTAGGTGCAAAGGTTTCTGATCTTATGAACCAGCTAAGATGACAGCCCTACCTATTTCCCTGGCAACCATGTCTCTCTCTAGGTGCAAAGGTTTCTGATTTTATGAACCAGCTAAGATGACAGCCCTACCTATTTCCCTGGCAACTATGTCCATCTCTAGGTGCAAAGGTTTCTGATCTTATGAACCAGCTAAGATGACAGCCCTACCCATTTCCCTGGCAACCATGTCACTCTCTAGGTGCAAAGGTTTCTGATCTTATGAACCAGCTAAGATGACAGCCCTACCTATTTCCTTGGCATCCATGTCTTTCAGTCGGTCTATGTAAAGGTTCCTGGCTTCAATCTTGTTGAGGATTTCCTGGGAGAGAATGGGGAACTGTCGCAGTGGGTGTTCGTGTGCCCACAGCCTCTTGTCCACCACCTTGCTGAGTGCCAACAGCCGACCTGCCATCACTGGCCAACCCTTCTTCAGCGCCATCTCAAACAGAGCTCGCATGATCCTGGAGGCATTCTGTGGAGGATCAAACACTTCAACATGGAACAACAGGCAAGTTGAAGCTTCTGTCTATATACACATATCATGCAACAATCATTCAGTTCAGTCCATGTCCTAATCTTAATGCTACCCTGATTGCCAATCAGATATAACAAATCAGCAAAAGATAACCTTGACAGTATGTTCACAGATGAACTGAAGTTTTGCCTCCAATCTGTACATGGCAGAAAATGATGTAGAAGATGTGGTGTGGAGCATGTCAGGGCACCACCCCCTGACAATGGTCAGTAAGGGCACAGAAGTGTCACAGTAGTGTCAGGGTGTCACAGTGGTGTCAAGTAGTATAAGTGGTGTCCAAGTAATGGTGTCACAGGTGTCACAGTGGTGTCAGGGTGTCACATTAGTGTCACAGTGGTGTCCCAGTAGTATAAGTAGTGTCACAATGGTGTCACACTGGTGTCAGGGTGTCACAGTACTGTCAGGGTGTCACAGTGGTGTCAGGGTGTCACAGTAGTGTCACAGTGGTGTGAGGGTGTCAAAGTGGTGTCACAGTAGTGTCAGGGTGTCCCAGTGGTGACAGGGTGTCACAGTGGTGTCCCAGTGGTGTCAGAGTAGTGTCAGGGTGTCACAGTGGTGTCACATTAGTGTCAGTGGTATCACATTAGTGTCACAATGGTGTCACATTAGTGTCCCAGTGGTGTCCCAGTAGTATAAGTAGTGTCACAATGGTGTCAAACTAGTGTCAGGGTGTCACACTGTTGTCACAGTATTGTCAGGGTGTCACAGTAGTGTCAGGGTGTCACAGTATTGTCAGGGTGTCACAGTAGTGTCACAGTGGTGTCAGGGTGTCACAGTAGTGTCAGGGTGTCACACTGGTGTCAGGGTGTCACGCTGGTGTCAAAGTAGTGTCAGGGTGTAACAGTGGTGTCAGGGTGTCACACTGGTATCACATTAGTGTCACAGTGGTGTCACAGAGGGTGTCACAGTAGTGTCACAGTGGTGTCAGGGTATCACATTAGTGTCACAGTGGTGTCACAGTAGTGTCAGGGTGTCACAGTAGTGTCAGAGTGGTGTCAGAGTGGTGTCCCAGTAGTGTCAGGGTGTCCCAGTAGTGTCCCAGTGTGGGCTGGTATCAACCAAACTGGTGTGAATGGATATCTCACTGGTCAGTGATACCTTCACAAGTGTTTGTTTATTTGAGTTGTTACATTTCTTGGCTGAATTCTGTAACATGGATATGCCCAGCCCCATCATGTCCAGGTTGCCATCATCTCCATCAGGAGGCCCTACAGACATCATGTCAAGGCTGCCATCATCTCCATCAGGAGGCCCTACAGACATCATGTCCAGGTTGCCATCATCTCCATCAGGAGGTCCTACAGACATCATGTCCAGGCTGCCATCATCTCCATCAGGCAGCCCTACAGACATCATGTCCAGGTTGCCATCATCTCCAGCAGGAGGCCCTACAGACATCATGTCCAGGCTGCCATCATCTCCAGCAGGCGGCCCTACAGACATCATGTCCAGGTTGCCATCATCTCCATCAGGAGGCCCTACAGACATCATGTCCAGGTTGCCACCATCTCCAGCAGGAGGCCCTACAGACATCATGTCCAGGTTGCCATCATCTCCAGCAGGAGGCCCTACAGACATCATGTCCAGGTTGCCATCATCTCCAGCAGGAGGCCCTACAGACATCATGTCCAGGTTGCCATCATCTCCATCAGGAGGCCCTACAGACATCATGTCCAGGTTGCCACCATCTCCAGCAGGAGGCCCTACATACATCATGTCCAGGTTGCCATCATCTCCAGCAGGAGGCCCTACAGACATCATGTCCAGGTTGCCATCATCTCCATCAGGAGGCCCTACAGACATCATGTCCAGGTTGCCATCATCTCCAGCAGGAGGCCCTACAGACATCATGTCCAGGTTGCCATCATCTCCAGCAGGAGGCCCTACAGACATCATGTCAAGGCTGCCATCATCTCCAGCAGGAGGCCCTACAGACATCATGTCCAGGCTGCCATCATCTCCATCAGGAGGCCCTACAGACATCATGTCCAGGCTGCCACCATCTCCAGCAGGAGGCCCTACAGACATCATGTCCAGGCTGCCATCATCTCCAGCAGGCGGCCCTACAGACATCATGTCCAGGTTGCCATCATCTCCATCAGGAGGCCCTACAGACATCATGTCCAGGCTGCCACCATCTCCATCAGGAGGCCCTACAGACATCATGTCCAGGCTGCCATCATCTCCAGCAGGAGGCCCTACAGACATCCTACAGACATCATCTCCAGGTTGCCATCAGACTCATCAGGTTGCCATCATCTCATCATGTCAGGTTGCCAGGCTGCCATCATCTCCATCAGGAGGCCCTACAGACATCATGTCCAGGTTGCCATCATCTCCAGCAGGAGGCCCTACAGACATCATGTCCAGGTTGCCATCATCTCCAGCAGGAGGCCCTACAGACATCATGTCCAGGCTGCCACCATCTCCAGCAGGAGGCCCTACAGACATCATGTCCAGGCTGCCATCATCTCCAGCAGGCGGCCCTACAGACATCATGTCCAGGCTGCCATCATCTCCATCAGGAGGCCCTACAGACATCATGTCCAGGCTGCCACCATCTCCATCAGGAGGCCCTACAGACATCATGTCCAGGTTGCCATCATCTCCAGCAGGAGGCCCTACAGACATTGGATGGGTCTTCGGACATGGACACAAGGGAGCATCTGAAAATGTTCTCAACCAGAGTGTACTCTAGGGATCCACTGTGGACCAACTTGGTGGACTGGTTGGCAATGTCAAGTCATAAGCAAGTTAACCAACAGTTTGTCATGAGGTGTTACACATGTATTGCCCAGCGTACTGGACACAACAAATGATATTATTATTATGATACTGGTCAATACGCATGATATTAAGTGTTGTTTCACCTACATTAATATTTCATCAGTTCCTGTACTATTTGTCAGCAGTATATGTACATACATCGATCGATGCCCTGGCAATCATAACATACAAAATATACCTAGATCTACCTCACCACTGATGCCCCACCAGATAAATGATGCCCAATCTGATGATTGATGCCCCACCTGATGATTGATGCCCCACCTGATGATTGATGCCCCACCTGATGATTGATGCCCCACCTGATAAATGATGCCCCACCTGATGATTGATGCCCCACCTGATGATTGATGCCCCACCTGATAAATGATACCCCATCTGATAATTGATGCCCCACCTGATGATTGATACCCCACCTGATGATTGATGCCCCACCTGATAAATGATGCCACACCTGATGATTGATGTCCCACTGAATCAATGATATCCCATCTGATGATTGATACCCCACCTGATGATTGATGCCCCACCTGATAAATGATGTCCCACCTGATGATTGATGCCCCACCGAATCAATGATATCCCACCTGATGATTGATGCCCCACCGAATCAATGATATCCCACCTGATGATTGATGACTCACCTGATACATGATAGCCCACCTGATGATTGATGACCCACCTGATAAATGATGCCCCACCTGATGATTGATGCCCCACCGAATCAATGATATCCCATCTGATGATTGATGACTCACCTGATACATGATAGCCCACCTGATGATTGATGCCCCACCTGATTATTGATGACCCATCTGATTATTGATGCCCCACCTGATAAATGATAGCCCACCTGATGATTGATGCTCCACCTGATAAATGATAGCCCACCTGATGAATGATCCCCACCTGATAAATGATAGCCCACCTGATGAATGATAGCCCACCTGATGAATGATGCCCCACCTGATGAATGATAGCCCACCTGATGAATGATGCCCCACCTGATGAATGATGCCCACCTGATAAATGATAGCCCACCTGATGAATGATGCCCCACCTGATAAATGATAGCCCACCTGATGAATGATCCCCACCTGATAAATGATGCTCCACCTGATGAATGATGCCCCACCTGATGATTGATGATGGCCCACCTGATGATTGATGCCCCACCTGATAAATGATAGCCCACCTGATGAATGATGCCCCACCTGATAAATGATAGCCCACCTGATAAATGATAGCCCACCTGATGAATGATCCCCCACCTGATAAATGATAGCCCACCTGATGAATGATGCCCCACCTGATAAATGATAGCCCACCTGATAAATGATAGCCCACCTGATGACTGATGCCCCACCTGATAAATGATAGCCCACCTGATGATGCCCCACCTGATGAATGATGCCCCACCTGATAAATGATGCCCCACCTGATGAATGATGCCCCACCTGATAAATGATAGCCCACCTGATGAATGATGCCCCACCTGATAAATGATGCCCCACCTGATGAAATGATGCCCCACCTGATGATTGATGCCCCACCTGATAAATGATGCCCCACCTGATGATTGATGCCCCACCTGATAAATGATAGCCCACCTGATGATTGATGCCCACCTGATAAATGATAGCCCACCTGATGAATGATGCCCCACCTGATAAATGATGATGCCCCACCTGATGAATGATATGCCCCACCTGATAAATGATGCCCCACCTGATGAATGATAGCCCACCTGATGAATGATGCCCACCTGATACCCACCTGATGCCCCACCTGATAAATGATAGCCCACCTGATAAATTAGCCCACCTGATGAATGATAGCCCACCTGATAAATGATAGCCCACCTGATGATTGATGCCCCACCTGATAAATGATAGCCCCACCTGATGAATGATGCCCCACCTGATAAATGATAGCCCACCTGATAAATGATAGCCCACCTGATAAATGATGCCCCACCTGATAAATGATGCCCCACCTGATAAATGATAGCCCACCTGATGAATGATGCCCCACCTGATAAATGATACCCCACCTGATGAATGATGCCCCACCTGATAAATGATAGCCCACCTGATGAATGATGCCCCACCTGATGAAATGATGCCCCACCTGATAAATGATGCCCCACCTGATGATTGATGCCCCACCTGATAAATGATGCCCCACCTGATCTATGATTGCCCACCTGATAATAAATGATGATGGCCCACCTGATGATTGATCCCACCTGATGAATGATGACCCACCTGATGATTGATAACCCACCTGATGATTGATGCCCCACCTGATAAATGATGATCCCACCTGATGCATGATGACTCCACCTGATTAAATGATGCCCCACCTGATAAATGATGACCCACCTGATGAATGATGCCCCACCTGATAAATGATAGCCCACCTGATGAATGATGCCCCACCTGATAAATGATAGCCCACCTGATGAATGATCCCCCACCTGATAAATGATAGCCCACCTGATGAATGATGCCCCACCTGATAAATGATAGCCCACCTGATGAATGATGCCCCACCTGATAAATGATGCCCACCTGATAAATGATGCCCCACCTGATGATTGATGCCCCACCTGATGAATGATGCCCCACCTGATAAATGATGGCCCACCTGATGATTGATGCCCCACCTGATGAATGATCCCTCACCTGATGACTGATGCCCCACCTGATCAATGATAGCCCACCTGATGATTGATGCCCCACCTGATAAATGATGCCCCACCTGATGATTGATGCCCCACCTGATGATTGATGCCCCACCTGATGAATGATGCCCCACCTGATGAATGATGCCCCACCTGATGATTGATGCCCCACCTGATGATTGATGCCCCACCTGATGATTGATGCCCCACCTGATGATTGATGACCCATCTGATGATTGATGCCCCACCTGATGATTGATGCCCCACCTGATAAATGATGCCCCACCTGATGATTGATGCCCCACCTGATGATTGATGCCCCACCTGATGACTGATGCCCCATCTGATAATTGATGCCCCATTTGATAAATGATATCCAATCTGATGATTGATGACCCACCTGATTATTGATATCCAATCTGATGATTGATGACCCACCTGATGATTGATGCCCCACCGAATCAATGATATCCCATCTGATGATTGATGGGTAAGATTACAGAATACCGGATACCTTCCGTCATTTTTAAAAGCGCGCGAGTTTACTTTTGGTTAGGATTAGGGTTAGGGTAAGGTTTAGGGTTAGGGTAAGGTTTAGGGTAAGGGTTTAGGGTAAGGTTTAGGGTTAGGGTTAGGGTGATGTGACACTAAACAACATGGCTGGTAGGTATCCGGTATTCTGTAAGTGAACCGATTGATGCCCCACCTGATGATTGATGCCCCACCGAATCAATGATATCCCACCTGATGATTGATACCCTATGATAGCCCACCTGATAATTAATGCCCCATCTGATAATGATCTGATGCCCCACCAAATCAATGATATCCCACCTGATGATTGATACCCTATGACAGCCCACCTGATTAATGCCCCATCTGATAATGATGCCCCACCTAATGATTGATGCCCCACCTGATGATTGATGCTCCAACTGATGATTGATGCCCCACCTGATAATTGATGCCCCATTTGATAAATGATATCAAATCTGATGATTGATGACCCACCTGATGATGACCCACCTGATAAATGATGACCCACCTGATTATTGATGACCTACCTGATGATTGATGACTCACCTGATTATTGATAACCCACCTGATGATTGATGACCCACCTGATAAATGACATCTCACCTGATGCATGATGACTCATCTGATGATTGATGCCCCACCTGATGATTGATGCCCCATCTGATAATTGATGCCCCATTTGATAAATGATATCAAATCTGATGATTGATGACCCACCTGATTATTGATGACCCACCTGATAAATGATGACCCACCTGATGATTGATGACCCACCTGATGATTGATGACTCACCTGATTATTGATAACCCACCTGATGATTGATGACCCACCTGATAAATGACATCTCACCTGATGCATGATGACTCATCTGATTATTGATGACCCACCTGATTGATGACCCACCTGATGATTGATGACTCACCTGATTATTGATGACCCACCTGATGATTGACGACCCACCTGATGATTGATGACTCACCTGATGATTGACGACTCACCTGAGCAACATATGACATGTCAGAGATGAGAGAAAGACTCCAGTCCGTGCCTGGAGACGTATGTCTGTAGCAAGATGTTGACTTTCCCGTTGGGATTTTCTTTCCCCCCTGCCACTGGCATCTCACAGGCATCGAACATCAGGTTGTCCAGCTCATCCATCTCATCCTCACGGACCTGCCACACAAACATCCCATTAAACACTGTCATGCCACCTTGTACATACTTACATAAGGTATTTTCTTTTCAGTAGTTGAAATAAGAACACACAGAAATTCTAAAAAGAAGATTTCTTCTTTAAAATAAATGTCGGGAAAATAACAAATAATACTAGAAAGGAGATGAATATAAGCCAGAATGTGACTTCCAGCACTGTACAGATCATCCAGGTTCACTGACATCACTGTACAGATCACCCAGGTTCACTGACATCACTGTACAGATCACCCAGGTTCACTGACATCACTGTACAGATCACCCAGGTTCACTGACATCACTGTACAGACCACCCAGGTTCACTGACATCACTGTACAGATCACCCAGGTTCACTGACATCACTGTACAGATCACCCAGGTTCACTGACATCACTGTACAGATCACCCAGGTTCACTGACATTACTGTACAAGATCACCCAGGTTCACTGTACAGATCACCCAGGTTCACTGACATCACTGTACAGATCACCCAGGTTCACTGACATCACTGTACAGATCACCCAGGTTCACTGACATTACTGTACAGACCACCCAGGTTCACTGACATCACTGTACAGACCACCCAGGTTCACTGACATCACTGTACAGATCACCCAGGTTCACTGACATCACTGTACAGATCACCCAGGTTCACTGACATCACTGTACTGATCACCCAGGTTCACTGTCATCACTGACAAGACTCATGACAAGAGTTGTACTGCAGTTTCAGGCCACTTCCTCATATATACATGTTATCAATCTTTCACCTGAAAAGGCATTAATGAAGACTGACCTTGATTTGTTCAAACTCCTGGGACTTGGCCAATATGTTAAACACCTCTGGTTCTGCCATGTGAGGTTTGAAGAACTCGTTGATTGTCTGCAAACAGTACATATTTGATAGATAAGACCTACCAGTTTCACCATGCTGCTTCTGTAGGCTCACACAGCAACACAAACCCTAAATACATTGTGTCAGTTCACATGAAGCATTATTTCAAAACATTTCCAACATGACTGTGTAAAAAGCAAAAAATGTTCAAAACTGTGTTATGAGAGTGTGTTTTTCGTAACATTGGTTAGGTGATAATAATTATGAGTCACAATGTTTAAAGTTTTGGGTGTTGGTTGTGGGTCACATTTCGCGTCATATATGTTCAATCCCAATGGTATTTTTAGCGGCACGCCTTTTGGGATGGCGCTCAAGAGTTACCTCCCTTGACTGGATGTTTATGTGTTGACATCGTCATGTTGTGGAGTCTCCCAGCGATATCGAGAAAGATCTATGTGGTTAATGATACAGCCATGCTTTCCCCGAAAGTTCGAGAATCTGTATCAGTATATATCAGGCTGGCTGTTGTGTGGTGCGACACAAGGACTGACACGGAATTACACAGGACTTTTGATATCACTGGAGTTGCCTACCATTGTCGTCCTTCGTCACCATCACCATCATCTGATCCTGACACTACGTGCCTGACAACTGCTCTCATTTGTAAACAAGCTTCATTTAGAATATCTGATCTCACTGTAATGATCAAGGCTCGTGGTGAGTTGATATTTTATATTTGTGACTCAAAACTTTAGATTTGTGACTCAATTGCATTGTACTAGAAATCTGTATTGTGATTCATTGTAGCTTGCTCATTGTTTGCTCAATATATTATTGAATATTTTAGACTTTTTAGACGGCAATTTATTAACCGTAACAGCAGTCATCAAGCAGGATATAGCTTTCTGACACACTGAAGGTGGATACCACATCAGTGTTGAGACTGACTGACTGACTAGACTACGCCACCGTCCCTCAGTGTTGAGAAACAGCTCCATAAGAACCTGACCAATGTTTGTACCATGCAGGCTACAACCTCGGCAACGTACATCATTGGAGTACCACAACATACCTCCATCATCAGTGCAGTTATAACATGTAGCACTGGACACCTCATCCATCCCACAACCTCACAGGTGAGTGGCCTACTTGATGTAGAAGTGGCTGGCAATGCGACCCAGGTCAGTGTATATCTCACCTCCATTGTGTCGTACTTGATGTAGAAATGGCTGGCAATGCGACCCAGGTCAGTGGAGGAGAAGTAGGACGTCCTCTCATCAAATCTGACCATCATGGCTTTGTCCAGCTTGCGTCCTGCTTCTGTGATGAGGTCGCGCCGGTGGACCTCCAAGCTTGGGTCATCCTGGTGATAACACAATATTCTCTAAGGACTACTTACAAATATATGATATAACTTATATCTATAATAAGGGATACAGTTTTGAATGTGTAAACTGTGTGATATGAAAATACACAAGTGTAATAATCCCATAATGTCACTCTTACATAAGCTAAGTTTTGAGTGAGTGAGTGAGTTAAAATTTAAAGTCACTTTGGCAAGCTAAGTTTTGAAAGGTATTTTCACTCACTGGAGTCTCGAAGACAGTACATATGACGTCATTATTAGAGTTTGCAAATTTTCACTTTCATTTCCTGTTCCACGGTAGAGAATCCCTACATTTTTACAAAGTGCTAACAAATTTGCCGACAAGTTTCATGAACACTCACCACTCGGAACTGATTTAGAACATCAGGTTAACCAATGTAAGGGGCAGATCAAAAAGTGGTTCCCACCTGGTGAATGTGACTTTATCTTTGTACAGATCGTTACTCCTGATAAGGAACCATCTCATTTTATGATCAATGTTCTCATCACCTGCCCCACCTGTCCCAGATAAACTGCAGATACTGTGAACATCCAGCTCTGATCAGTGCACACAAAAACAGTCTAGGTTGCACATAATTATGTTTAATGACAAATCATATACTACTATTGTGGTCCCCATTTTGCCTAAAATACACAATAACTCCAAAATAATTGTTTAGGTTGTCAGTCCTTGCTGCAGTCCTGAGGATTCAGGGACCATAACAGCTTATTCTACAGCTGAATAAATCACACTAACAGGTCTATTGCTGCTCTCCATTAATTTAATGCAGTGCTCTCTTCAGGTAGGGAACATGAGCACTGCAGAGTTATCTCCCTTTATGAGCCCCCCAATTCTTTGAGTAGACAGTAATACAGTGGAATTAGGCACTGATACATCAATAAAAGGCAGTTCAGGAATAAAACTAGCCAAAATGCCTGTCATAGATTGAACTAGATAAGAACTCTGAGAGCAGACGTTAGAGCTCGGGGTTAGACCCGCCCCAACACCCTAGGTGGCCTCATCTGCAGCCATGGTTTCACACGACTCAAAACAAGCATCAGTTGTCAGACTAAGCACTGAAGTGTACGAGTACCTGGACAACACCGTAGGGGATGCCGTAAGCCAGAGGGTTGATCCTCATCCGGACGTACAGGTATGTGTAGCTGAGCCACTTGACGGCCTCCTCCATGTTGGTTACTGTACCGAGTGCAACCTGAAATACAGTCAGAGAAAACTCTAACGCACGCTCTTACCAAACTGATGAAGCCAGTGTCAACCACTGGCCTAGAATGTATTACCAAGTCAGAGAAAACTCTAACGCACGCTCTTACCAAACTGATGAAGCCAGTGTCAACCACTGGCCTAGAATGTATTACCAAGTCAGAGAAAACTCTAACACTCTTACCAAACTGATGAAGCCAGTGTCAACCACTGGTCTAGAATGTATTACCAAGTCAGAGAAAACTCTAACGCACGCTCTTACCAAACTGATGAAGCCAGTGTCAACCACTGGTCTAGAATGTATTACCAAGTCAGAGAAAACTCTAACGCACGCTCTACTAAAACTGATGAAGCCAGTGTCAACCACTGGCCTAGAATGCATTACCAAGTCAGAGAAAACTCTAACGCACGCTCTTACCAAACTGATGAAGCCAGTGTCAACCACTGGCCTAGAATGTATTACCAAGTCAGAGAAAACTCTAACACACGCTTACCAAACTGATGAAGCCAGTGTCAACCACTGGTCTAGAATGTATTACCAAGTCAGAGAAAACTCTAACGCACGCTCTTACCAAACTGATGAAGCCAGTGTCAACCACTGGTCTAGAATGTATTACCAAGTCAGAGAAAACTCTAACGCACGCTCTTACCAAATTGATGAAGCCAGTGTCAACCACTGGTCTAGAATGTATTACCAAATCAATGCCAGGACATTGACATTGTAACATTAAGTTCTGGGACTAAGAATTCAGGGTACAGGGGGATATTTTTTCATGTCTTCACAAACTTAACTTCAGCACTTCCATGAATCAAAAGCAGGAAAATCCAAATAAACCATATTCAAATGAGAGGGGTCAGGTCAATAACAAAGATGATACAGGTTGTAACATGACTTGTAGTGAGTGAGTTTAGTTTTACGCTGCACTTATTCCAACCACTTTTGAGAGCTACCCCAACACCAGAAATGGGCTTCACACATTGTACCCATATGGGGAATCTCCTCGGCATGATAAACAAACGCCTTAACCACTAGGCTATCTTTTGATGACCTGGGTGAAAACCTCACCTCATCATGACATTCTCTGTGAGGCTGTGGTAGAAATTCAGATTATCTGTGAGGCCTAGAGTGAAAACACCTCAGCATCACTGTGAGGCATTCCTCTGTGAGGCTGTAGACTAGAAAAACCTTACCTCAGCATTCAGATTATCTGTGAAAACCTTTCAGATTGTCCTGTGTAGGCAGCATTTCAGATTATCTGTGAGGCTGTAGACGAACTAGAGTGAAAACCTTACCTCAGCATTCAGATTGTCTGTGAAGCTGTTGACGAACTAGAGTGAAAACCTTACCTCAGCATTCAGATTGTCTGTGAGGCTGTACCTCAGCATTCAGATTATCTGTGAGGCTGTTGCATGAACTAGAGTGAAAACCTTACCTCAGCAGCATTCAGTGATTATTCAGATCTGTGAGGCTGTTGACGAACTAACTAGAGTGAAAACCCTTACCTCAGCATTCACCTGAGCATTCAGATTATCTGTGAGGCTGTTGAACTAGAGTGAAAACTAGCATTCAGATTGTCTGTGAAAACCTTACCTCAGCATTCAGATTGTCTGTGAGGCTGTTGATGAACTGGCTCTCAATTGGATTCTGTCTTGTCATCAGGGAGAGATAGTGGCTCAGCTTGTCGTGGGTTGTGATGATTGTGCCATGACCAAACTTGTCAAACTGGGGCCGACCAGCACGACCGAATATCTGCATCACGTCAAGGATGCCCAGGTCCACGAAGGAGCCTCGCTTCGCATCGTACAGTTGCGTGCCCTGAACATAAAACATTTAACAGATACAGAAGAAAGTTATTAGGGACATCACACTTCAAACTTAACACAAAAGAAACAAGAAGACAAAGTCATCAATATCCCCCGCAATGGCAAAATACTCTTCATGATTATGTCTACGAGTTATGATTATGTCAAATATTTAGGTGTGTATATAGAAAAGTGGAAGGAGAGTATTGAAAGGTTTTTAAAGTTCTGCTCCAGAAAGGAGCACTATCACCAATTTCAGTCTATGTCAAACTTGTTGCCATGGAAATGCCAAAAATATTTTATTCAGAAATCCAAAACTACCAAAAGGCACCAGTACACCACCAGATCTATGTATGTGCCAAGTTTGGTGAAGAAACATTGAACGGTTTTAGAGTTCTGCTCCGGAAAAGTGCACTACCACTAATTTCTGTTTTAGTCAAACTTGTTGCCATGGAAACACCAAAAATATTTTAGTCAGAATTCCAAAACTACCAAAAAGGAACCAGTACACCACCAGACCAATCTATTTGTCAAGTTTGGTGAAGAAATAGTGAACGGTTTTAGAGTTCAGCTCCGGAAAAGAGCACAACCACCAACTTCAGGCTATGTCAAACTTGTTGCCACGGAGTCCATTTTAATACCAAAAAATATTTTATTCAGAATCAAAAACTACCAAAAGGCACCAGTACACCACCAGATCTATCTATGTGCCAAGTTTGGTGAAGAAATATTGAACGGTTTTAGAGTTCTGCTCTCGAAAAGACAAATGTGCACGGACGGACGGACGGATCGACACACGCGACGGATCGGAGTCCATTTAATACCCCCAAAAGGCATTGCGGGGGATAAAAATTTACATTGAAATTCTTCTGGATTTCATTCTTGACAGAATAAATGCTGTTACGAATCCAAAATTACCACGTTTGTGTCTTGCCTAAACAATCAAATTGGAGGAAAGGTGCAGGCGTAGAAATAGAACTGGTAACTGTTTCTGTAAAAGTACATTTCCCAGTTGATTTTCCTAATAATCCATCATAGTGATGACCTGCACAAACCATGTTCCAGAAGTTAACATCATCAGACTATCACGTCCGAACATTCACCCACCTTGATGATGACAGCATGGGCGGGCAGATTGACACCCCAGGCCAGGGTTGCTGTACACACCAACACCTTGATGTGGCCACCACTGAAGTACCGCTCTACCAGGTTTCGGTCCTGGCGCAGCATCCCGGCATGATGCATGCTGAAGCCGTCCGGGAACAGATCCTTCAACTGCTTGTTCCGTGACCTCTGCAACTGTGGCAGGACACCAGGGAGGGTTTAGTGTAGCAGTACATAAGGGAGGGGTTAGTGTAGCAGTACATCAGGGAGGGCAGTATATTAGTTAGTGTAGCAGTACAGCAGGGAGGGGTTAGTGTAGCAGTACATCAGGGAGGGCAGCAGTTAGTGCAGCAGTACATCAAGGGAGGGGTTAGTGTAGCAGTACATCAGGGATTAGTGGCAGTAGTTAGTAGCAGAGGGAGGGGTACCAGTCAGGTGAGGGGGGAGGGGTTAGTGCAGCAGTACATCATCAGGCAGCAGGGGTTAGTGTAGCAGCAGTACATCAGGGAGGGGTAGTAGTTAGTGCAGCAGCAGTACATCAGGGAGGGTTAGTGCAGCAGTATATTAGGGAGGGGTTAGTGTAGCAGTACATCAGTTAGTGTAGCATACATCAGGGAGGGGTTAGTGCAGCAGTATATTAGGGTACACATCAGGAGAGGCAGGGGTTAGTGCAGCAGTACAGCAGGGGAGGGGTTAGTGCAGCAGTACATCAGGGAGGGGGTTTAGTGTTAGTGTTAGTGCAGCAGTACATCAGGGAGGGGTTAGTGCAGCAGTACATCAAGGAGGGGTTAGTGCAGCAGTACATCAGGGAGGGGTTAGTGTAGCAGTACATCAGGAGGGGTTAGTGCAGCAGTACATCAGGGAGGGGTTAGTGCAGCAGTACATCAGGGATGGGTTCAGGAGGGTTAGTGCAGCAGTACATCAAGGAGGAGGTTAGTGCAGCAGTACATCAGGGAGGCAGCAGCAGTACATCAAGGAGGGTGCAGCAGTACATCAAGGACATCAGCAGCAGTACATCAGGGAGGGTTAGTGCAGCAGTACATCAGGGAGGGGTTAGTGTAGCAGTACATCAAGGAGGGGTTAGTGCAGCAGTACATCAGGGAGGGGTCAGTGCAGCAGTACATCAGGGAGGGGTTAGTGCAGCAGTACATCAAGGATGGGTCAGTGCAGCAGTACATCAGGGAGGGGTTAGTGCAGCAGTACATCTATGATATTTCTTAACAGTTATACAAATTTTTGAAGGGCATTTAGAATTGAAATGCATAAGGAAAGCAAGATTTATGGATGTCAACTTCTTGACCTCCCCAGACTGCAGGTTTAGAGACTTACATTCTTCTGAGCCTCGCCATATGAACGATCCTGGTCAGCGAGGAACAGCTGGGATTGACCTCTGTTCTTGGAGTAGTCTCGCAACATCATGGCTGTCCGCACTGTCTCATTACGGGCGTGGACGAACACCATCACCTGAACAGACAGTCAAGCAAAACAGAATGACCCTCTGCACACACAAAATGTGGAATTTACATTTTCAAGAAAACTGTTGGTATGACAAACATTATTAAGAAAGACAAATATTTGTACAAACGTCTTCGTACTTCAACTATAATAGTTCAGAGCAAAAGTGTACTTTATTACACTATACATGGTGGTAGAGAGAACTGTATTTCTCAATTTCAAATATATATCTGAGCATGAGAATGTCCTTGGGCCCAAGCTTCACTCAGGATCAAATATTACACGAACAAATATACTTCCTAAAATCCTTTAACATTTGTCTTTATGGCACATTTTATCCTAAACTGTATTTAGAGTTGTCAATGGTAGAATCCCCTACAACATGCAGGTCTAACACTGGCAGAATCCCAAACAACACAATGGTCTAACACTGGCAGAATCCCCTACAACTTGGGAGGTCTAACACTGGCAGAATCCCCTATAATTTGGAGGTATAACACAGGTAGAATCCCCAACACCACAATGGTCTAACACTAGCAGAATCCCCTACAACACAATGGTCTAAAACTGGCAGAATCCCCAATAACACAGTGGTCTAACATTGGTAGAATCTCCTCCATTGACATGGTCTAACACTGGCAGAATCACCTACAAACTGGAGGTTTAACACACGCAGAATCCGCAATACCACAGAGGTCTAACACTGGCAGAATCCCCTACAACTTGGAGGTCTAACACTGGCAGAATCCCAAAGAACACAATGGTCTAACACCGGTAGAATACCCTACAGCATGGAGGTCTAACACTGGCAGAATCCCAAACACCGAAATGGTCTAACACTGGCAGAATGCCCTACAAGATGGAGGTCTAACACTGGCAGAAGCCCCAAAACCCCAATGGTCTAACACTGGCAGAATCCCCTACAAGATGGAGGTCTAACACTGGCAGAATCCCCAACACCACAATGGTCTAACATTAGCAGAATCCCCTACAACACAATGGTCTAATACTGGCATAATCCCCTACAACTTGGTACTCGTGAAGGTCCGGGTTAGAATAGTGATCTTCAGTAACCCATGCTTGTCGTAAGAGGCGACTAACGGGATCGGGTGGTCAGGCTCACTGACTTGTTTGACACATGTCATTGGTTAGACACTACCATGACTTAACACTGGCAGAATCCCCAAGACCACCATGGTCTAACACAGGCAGAATCCCCTACACCAAAATCGTCTAACACTGGCAGAATCCCAAAAAACACAATGGTCTAACACTGGCAGAATCCCCAACACTACCATGGTCTAACACTGGCAGGATCCCCAACACCACCATGGTTTAGCACTGGCAGAATCCCCAACACAACCATGGTCTAACTCAGGCAGGATCCCTACACCCCCATGGTCTAACACTTGACTTGCAAACTATCAAGTCACCAGCATGAGTGTCCCCACAAGGACACAACAGTTTTGCCGATCACCTGTCTGTAGACTGTACCTGGTAGCCGGCCTTGACCTGGGCCACCACCTTCTCATAGCAGACGTTGTTGAACTCCATCATCTGCTGCACTCGGTTGGTGGCCTTTACACCTGGACAGAAATAACATCCAAGTTCTCATAGAAAAATCTGGTCTATGGTCTGGTCTAAGTCATCTGTGAAGGTCTAATTTGTGAGGACCAAGACAATGGGCACAGGTATAACTTGTCATATCTTTTATGGTTTGGCAAAGTATGTCCTCACCTATGGGCCAAGGCAAGGCTGTGTCAGTAATCTATAAAGGTCTTGACAAGGAGCACAGGACTGTTCTCACCTATGAAGGCTAAGGCAAGGCTGTCAGTAATCTATAAAGGTCTTGACAAGGAGCACAGGACTGTCCTCTCCTATGAAGGTCAAGGCAAGGCTGTCAGTAATCTATAAAGGTCTTGACAAGGAGCACAGGACTGTCCTCTCCTATGAAGGTCAAGGCAAGGCTGTCAGTAATCTATAAAGGTCTTGACAAGGAGCACAGGACTGTTCTCTCCTATGAAGGTCAAGGCAAGGCTGTCAGTAATCTATAAAGGTCTTGACAAGGAGCACAGGACTGTCCTCACCTATAAAGGTCAAGGCAAGGCTGTCAGTAATCTATAAAGGTCTTGACAAGGAGCACAGGACTGTTCTCTCCTATGTAGGTCAAGGCAAGGCTGTCAGTAATCTATAAAGGTCTTGACAAGGAGCACAGGACTGTTCTTCCTATAAAGGTCAAGGCAAGGCTGTCAGTAATCTATAAAGGTCTTGACAAGGAGCACAGGACTGTCCTCACCTATAAAGGTCAAGGCAAGGCTGTCAGTAATCTATAAAGGTCTTGACAAGGAGCACAGGACTGTTCTCTCCTATGAAGGTCAAGGCAAGGCTGTCAGTAATCTATAAAGGTCTTGACAAGGAGCACAGGACTGTTCTCTCCTATGAAGGTCAAGGCAAGGCTGTCAGTAATCTATAAAGGTCTTGACAAGGAGCACAGGACTGTTCTCTCCTATAAAGGTCAAGGCAAGGCTGTCAGTAATCTATAAAGGTCTTGACAAGGAGCACAGGACTGTCCTCACCTATAAAGGTCAAGGCAAGGCTGTCAGTAATCTATAAAGGTCTTGACAAGGAGCACAGGACTTCTCTCCTATGTAGGTCAAGGCAAGGCTGTCAGTAATCTATAAAGGTCTTGACAAGGAGCACAGGACTGTTCTCTCCTATAAAGGTCAAGGCAAGGTTGTCAGTAATCTATAAAGGTCTTGGACAAGGAGCACAGGACTTTTCCCTCCTATGAAGGTCAAGGCAAGGCTGTCAGTAATCTATAAAGGTCTTGACAAGGAGCACAGGACTGTCCTCTCCTATGAAGGTCAAAGCAAGGCTGTCAGTAATCTATAAAGGTCTTGACAAGGAGCACAGGACTGTTCTCTCTCCTATGAAGGTCAAGGCAAAGGCTGTCAGTAATCTATAAAGGCTCTTGACAAGGAGCACAGGACTGTCCCTCACCTATAAAGGTCAAGGCAAGGCTGTCAGTAATCTATAAAGGTCTTGACAAGGAGCACAGGGACTGTTCTCTCCTATGTAGGTCAAGGCAAGGCTGTCAGTAATCTATAAAGGTCTTGACAAGGAGCACAGGACTGTTCTCTCCTATAAAGGTCAAGGCAAGGCTGTCAGTAATCTATAAAGGTCTTGATAAGGAGCACAGGACTGTCCTCACCTATAAAGGTCAAGGCAAGGCTGTCAGTAATCTATAAAAGGTCTTGACAAGGAGCACAGGACTGTTCTCTCCTATGAAGGTCAAGGCAAGGCTGTCAGGCAGTAATCTATAAAGGTCTTGACAAGGAGCACAGGACTGTTCTCTCCTGCCTGAAGGTCAAGGCAAGGCTGTCAGTAATCTATAAAGGTCTTGACAAGGAGCACAGGACTGTTCTCTCCTATAAAGGTCAAGGCAAGGCTGTCAGTAATCTATAAAGGTCTTGACAAGGAGCACAGGACTGTCCTCCACCTATAAAGGTCAAGCCAAGGGCTGTCAGTAATCTATAAAGGTCTTGACAAGGAGCACAGGACTTCTCCTATGTAGGTCAAGGCAAGGCTGTCAGTAATCTATAAAGGTCTTGGACAAGGAGCACAGGACTGTTCTCTCCTATAAAGGCCGGCGCAAGGTTGTCAGTAATCTATAAAGGTCTTGGACAAGGAGCACAGGACTGTTCTCTCCTATAAAGGTCAAGGCAAGGCTGTCAGTAATCTATAAAGGTCTTGACTGATAAGGAGCACAGGACTGTTCTCTCCTATAAATAGCTATACCACAGCCCCCACTAAATTTGGATTAGATTTGGCTAATTACCTCTGGAATATTTTCTTTTATTCGTATACTGCAGAAAACTATTGAATCTTTTCAGTTATTTCTTCTGATATGTTTAGACAAATATACATATTAAAGTAAAATAATATCAAAAATGGTGTTTGCTTGTTTATTCAGTTAATTAGTGACAGCGAGGTGAATGCCAGCCTTGGCAATCTGTCAAAGGTCGCGTCCCGTGGACTGTTTGATGGCAGTGCCCAGTTTCCGTTTGGGGTATTTTCAAAACACCGTGGTGCTGTTGTTTTGAGTTGAAATGTCATAGAATTTGGTGGACAATAAGATCAGAAGGTGGTCTTTCATGTGGTATAATTTATATTTCGATGAATGAAGAGGAACGGTGTGGAATTGGCATGTTTGAAAACTCCCCATTTTCAAGTACTCGCCATTTGCAGGGCAAGTCCGTTTTCAATCTGTAACATCGCGTAGCATAAAGAGCAACATTTCCCTTTTATTTTGATGTATATATTAACAACATTTAAATTGGGTAACACGGCGTGAGATCGCGTAATATGAAACTAAGTGCCGTTCAAAACGTTCCATTTTCACCCCCGGAGCCCGACCCATGCACTAACGCTAACAGCAGTAGAGGGTAGATCACTACAGTTTCAGCCTCTGTCTGACTACTACAGAAAAACTATTGAATCTTTTCGCAGTTATTTTTCTGATATGTTTAGACAACACATTAAAGTAAATAACATAACAAAAAATGGTGTTTGTTGTTTGTTCAGTTAATTAGTGACAGCGAGGTGAATGTCAGCTTTGGCAATCTGTCAAAGGTCCCGTCCCGTGGACCGTTCGATGGCAGTGCCCAGTTTCGTCGGGGTATTTACAAAGCACTGTGGTGCTGCTGCTTTGCGTTGAAATGTAATAAAAATTGGTGGATCATAAGATCAGAAGATGGTCTTTCTTGTGGTATATTTTATATTTCGACGAATGAAGAGGAACGGTGTGAATTGGTGTTTGAAACACTCCCCATTTTCAAGTACTCGCCCATTTGCAAGGTAAGTCCGTTTTCAATCTGTAACATCGCGTAGCATGAAGAGCAACATTTCCCTTTATTTTGATATATATATCAACAATATTAAAATTGGGTAACACGGCGTGAGATCGCGTAATATGAGGAAACTAGTGCCGTTCAAAACGTGCCATTTTCACCCCCGTAGCCCGACCCATGCAATAACGCTAACAGCAGTAGAGCGTAGATCACTTTGCAGTTTCGGCTTCTGTCTGACAATATCCTATGTCAAACTGTTACTGCATAGTAAATGGTGAACGATGAATGCTAAAATCGTCATCTACTGAAATGGATCTGTATGAAAATATTTGACACGTAATATCTCTTTTCCCAGAAACAGTTCCCCGCAAAAGAGATATGCGCTGTTTACACTCGGTTTGACTGTTTCATATTATGGTGATTTCGGTTCTGTCTGTAAACAGCATGATATTTAGCTAGTATGGTTGACAAAAATGGATACATATATATATGTGTGTGTATATTGTTCGCTAAAAGTCATATTTCTTGTAGTTTGTCGATCACATGTCAACAAACTGTTTTCGCGGTAGAAATAGCGAGATCACGCAACAGCTCACCGGTGACAGGTCAAATTGTTCCATGCACAAAACTACCCGGCATAACATCAAAAGTGCTCCCGCATAACCTTAGTTATGGTTACAAGTATTTAACATTTATAGAGCAAAACCTGTAATTACAAAGACACAATGCTAGAATTTATCGATCTTGGTTAAATAGTAGTTTAGATAATATATTTTACCGATCACTGCGCCAGATTTCATCCCGTTATATTACTGGGTAGGTTTTAAATACATCACCGGTAGATCGCCTAGGAACGTCTACAGCTGATTGCTATTTCCGGTTCTGTATACGACAAATAAGCACACGTAATCTTTATCCCTGCATATAATAAAATGCCCAGGATGAACAAATTACAACTGAAAAGGTACATAGTCATGTCATGGTTAAGTTGTTTTGATAACGTCTTTCAGTAGAGAGTAGGGTAATGTCAATCAAAGCGTAATACACTAACAATTGGCAGGAGATACACTATTATATGTTTATTGAAATTATTCTAAGCAACGGTTGTGATTTATTGTCTATTCCTCCAGCATCGGTGATCGTAAATGATATTTCTAATTTCCGGTAATTTGGACAGCTCAAGTAGCTTAGATTGCGGCTTAACTTTTCATGTTTTTATGACCATGGCAACACGTAACTTAACTTCACACATTTTAGATTGCCTATAAAATAAATCTCAAACGATGGGCATCACTTACGCTGACATTCACACTGAAGTTAGAACTTTATCAACATATCCACAGAAAGTTTATTTCAATTTCCTCTACTGTACGTAAAGTTAATATCAAATCAACATTTGAAGGATTGCGAATCTAGGGACGATAATTTTATCTGCATTTAGTAAATTCCTCTGCACAAAATTATTTATTCATTGGTTAAAAATGAAGCATACAACTTTGGATGACAACTTCTTTTTATTGCATATAACAACGTTTCGATGTAGACTGCTGTCAAGCTAAAAGTGAATACAACCAAGTGATTAACAACACTACTCCTGGTACATAATTTGTTAGAGGCCACTAGTGGATTAACAACAACAAATGAGACTGGTGACAATGCCAGTAAACAATGGGGATTAAGTCGTAATAACAAACTGATGGGGTTGTTGTTACAACTTAATCCCTCTTGTTTACTGG